AGAATGGCCATCATTCAAAAACCCACAAATGACAAATGCTGGAGAGGCTGTGAAGAAAAGGGAACCCTCCTGCACTTCTGGTGGGAATGTAGTTTGGTACAGCCACTATAGAAAACAGTTTGGAGATTCCTCTAAAGAGTACAAATAGACTTACCATATGACCCAGGAATCCCGCTCCCAGGCATATATCCAGAAGAAACCCTAATTCAAAATGACACCTGCACCCCGATGTTCATAGCAGCACTATTTACAATAGCCAAGACATGGAAACAGCCTAAATGTCCATCAACAGATGACTGGGTAAAGAAGATGTGGTGTGTTTATACAATGGAATACTATTCAGCCTTAAAAACTGACAACATAATGCCATTTGCAGCAACATGGATGCTCCTGGAGAATGTCGTTCCAAGTGAAGTAAGCCAGAAAGAAAGAAAAACACCATATGAGATAGGTGTAAGGGACTGTTCTAGCTTCATTGCTTTACATGCTGCTGTCCAGTTTTCCCAACACCATATATGGGGTCTAAAACAAAACAAAACAAAACATAAATACAGATCAGAAACGGACTCATGGACATTGAATACAAACTTGTGGTTGCCAAGGGGGTGGGGGTGGAAAGGGACAGATTGAGATTTCAAAATGCAGAATAGATAATCTGTGATTGATTTTAAGACTTACCGTTTTGTTGAGCAAGCTATAATCAGGAGAAGCACTCAGAAGCTATTAGATGCTTTTCCAATTATTCTTTGGTAAGACTTAAGCTTTAGGGTCACTTTAGAATTCTTGTGATCCAGGGCATATTAACTTTCATTGCAAACCTTACTTATTTTCTTTCCCAGAAATCATCAGTGAGTTTCACTTGATTGACCTTGTTGTTAACCTGTTTCTATGTTAGTTTTATAACCTCTTAGGTTTACCCGTTAAAATTGCAAAACCTTTGTTGAGAATAACTCCATGGCTCACTTCCTGATTTGGGGCGGGATGGTCTATATGTGCCTTCTTTATATCTTCTATAGAAAGGTCATTTTTAACAATCGGTTGTTTGGGAAAACCATTCTTTGTCCTTTTGTATACACATATATGTACTTACATGACACATTCTTAATTAAGAATTTTTAAGAATTTGCATGCCATTCAATGTAGACTACAGTCTGCAGTGAGACTGGAGTGTGTATATGTGTGTGTGTAGTCTTGGTGTAGACTATATTGACATGTTTACAGAAAAATTCTGCAGTTTATAAGAGTAAGATGATAACTGAATTCTTAAAAAGTTAGTTAACAAAGTATGACCCATTAGTCACATGATGACTAAGAGCCTGGCTCTGGAGTCAAGCTGCAAGGTGTTTGAATTCTAGCTTCTGCAATCTTGGACAAGTTACTTAACCTTCCTGTGCCTGAGGGCTGTCATCTGTGTAATGGGGATACTAACAGGACCTACCTCGTAGAAGTAATTCAGATAATATGTGTAAAGTATGTTCCACCATACCCAGCACAGGGCACACTTAATAAATGTTAGCTACTCTTTTTTATTAGTAAGTTACCACTTCATGAGTGAGACCAGAGACCTTGAATTATTGGTTAAGTAAAAAAATTTCTTCCTAGTAAATGATTTTGAGGTATAGTATGGAGAAGTATCTTCTAATTCATTGCTTTTAAGACGTCCCCCAGGTTAATATGGACTCTTTGAAAGAGGAATGTGTGCTAAGATGTAATTGCCATGAAAGCAGGAAATTACTTTTTGTCTGTTTTGTCTACTCATCTATTATAATACCTCCAGTAGTGCCTGACTTTTTACTAAGGCTCAATAACTATTTGTTGAATGAGTGAAAAAGGATCAGTGACTCTTAAAAGCTACAAACTTTTCATCTCATGGACTGAATTATGTGAGTGACTCCACTATGTAATGATTTTAAATGACGGTTTAGCAGTTTTATGGAGAGGAGTTTATCTAAGTCACTAGAAACTCTGAAACGTAAAGTACAATTAAACAAACTGACTTTCATTGCTTTAGATGTAAGCTAAGATATATATGTAAATTGAGATAAGTTCCTGTTCACAACTTTGACAGTGTTTAATTAAGAAGTTTCAAGTTACTTCATTAAAAAACAGAATTTAAAAATTATGTGCACATAAAACAATGAAAATTATATGCAAATATTAACAGTAATTATCTGCAGGTAGGAGGATTATAGATAATATAAAAATTCTTCCTTTTGCTTCTCTTTATTTTCTAGCATTTCATAAATGATAGTCGTATCTGAAATTATAAGGGACTCTCAAATCCAGGCAGTATTTATTGAGTGTTTATGGGTTATCTGTCATTGTCTTAGGTACTGGGGCTACAGTGATGAACAAGAAAAACAAGTCTCTATATTCTAGTAGAGGGGAAGGAGAAAATAAGCTTGGGAAAGGAGATTCGTATTTTATAGACAGGGAACTGAGGCTAAAGGATGTTCAAGGGACTTGCCAAAGTCATGGCATAGTTGGCATAAAAATGTCACTTACCTGATTTACAGCTCAGAGCTCTCGCTATTATGCCTTACTGGCTTTATTGACTCTGGAGAGTGGTATGCAAATTCTTGAGCATTCTAAATCAGAAGTCTAATGGAATTTTGCTATGAGTCTCATGAAGGAGTTCTTTACGAGGCAGTGTTATGTTGGGTAAGGAACATGTATGTGCTTTCTACCCAATTACGTCAACAAAACATTCAGCAAATCCTTTACACTCATCAGCTGAACTAGCGAGAGATTAGCTGTCTTGCTTGTTACTTCCATAGTCCTGTTATTTGATTTGGAGTTACATATATATGTGTTCGGTTTTTTTCTACAGCCATACACACTGCTGCTATGGATATGCTGGGAGGATCTGGTGTCGAAAGACAATGCAGAAAAGTTGATATCATTGCAGATGCCGCATACTGCATTTTCAAAAAGCCAAAAAATTTTACTGGCAACTTTATTATTGATGAAAATATCTTAAAAGAAGAAGGAATAAAAAATTTTGATGTCTATGCCATTGCACCAGGTACTGCTTATAGTTTTCAAAAGTAATGATGTGTTTTTCCATATTTTCTGCAATGGATATACATTTTGTGTGTGTACATGTTTTTATATAATTATAAAATGAATATACTATTTTAAAAGCTGAAATGAGTTGAAGGCTTTTTAAGTGATATGCAGATTCAGAAGTTCACATCAGCTTTTAGCCATTTCCAAATCTTAAAACCAAAAAGGAAAATTAATTTTTTAAGTTGATCTTAAAATCACCCAGTAAAGATTTTATTCAAGGATATGGTAAAAGATGATACAGTGGTGAGTTTTTCACAAAAAACTTTGTAAGATTACGTGCTCTTTCCAAATGTTTATCTTTTAAGTGCAGTCTCTGAGAGTAACTTCCTGATAGATGGTGAAGCTGAATGAGCACAATCTGTCCCACATACAAGGGTGTGATTCAAGTTCTCAGAAGGCCCCTTGTTCAAAAATAATTCTTCCTGTTGTAATTGCAGATGATGATGATAGTGATGAAACTGCATTTTTACTTAATGTATCAACTATAATATATACTATATAACAAGACAGTGTAGCCAAAATGAAAGTTATGTTTATTTGTGCAAAAGTGTATTTTAAATATTATTAATTAGGTTGAACTTCTAGGTGACAGAAACCGCGTTTGTATTTTTATCATCCCTGCCTCCTCAGTTTGAACTGAATTGAAATAAACAGCTCTTTACAGGACACTTTTATATACAGTATCTGTTTATCCTTCATAGCAATCCTGTGAAGGAAGCAATATTGTACACTGATTAGGAACATGGAGTTTGGGAGAAGATAACCCAGTTCAGATTCTGGTTCAGCTGCTCATTAGCTGGACAACCTTGGGTATGTCACCTGCTGTCTCTGAGCCTCACTTTCCTTATTGGTAAAAATAAGGGAATGATACCTTTTACACAGGATTTTTCAAAGAACTAAATGCAATAATGTATACACTGTTCTTGTCACAGTGCCTGGCATGTAATACAATCATAGTATTTAGTAGTTAATATTTACAGTAGAAAAACAGGCTTAAAGAGATTAAGCTTTGCCTAAGAGCTGTCAGGTAATAAGCGGCAGAACTTGAACCAGACCTAGGTCATGTCTTCTGGCTCTGGGTACAATGTAATTACCACTTTACATTTAACTTCCTTTTTTCTTTTAATTGAAGTATAGTTGACTTACAATGTTGTGTTAGTTTCAGGTGTACAGCAAAGTGATTCAGATATGCATGTGAGTGTATATATATATTTTTTCATTCATTTTCAGATTCTTTTCCATTATAGGTTATTACAAGATTTTGAGTAGTTCTCTGTGCTATACAGTAGGTCCTTCTTGGTTATCTGTTTTATATATAGTCCTGTGTATATGTTAATCCCAAACTCCTAATTTATCCCTCATCCTCTTTTCCCCTTTGATAGCCATATTTGTTTTCTATGTCTGTAAGTCTATTTTTGTTTTGTAAATAAGTTCATTTGTGTCACTTTTTAGATTCCACATAAAAGCAATATCATATGATAATTGTCTTTCTCTGACTTAACTTCACTTAGTATGATAATCTCTAGGTCCATCCATATTGCTGGAAATGGCATTATTTCATTCATTTTTATGGCTGAGAAATATTCCATTACACACACACACCACATCTTCTTTATCTGTTCATCTGTCAATGGAAATTTAGGTTGCTTCCATGTCTTCCAGGCGATTTATGTCAAAGAGTGTTCTGCATATGTTTTCCTTTAATTTTAGAGTACCTGGTCTTACATTTAGGTCTTCAATCCATTTTGAGTTTATTTTTGTATATGGTGTTAGAGAATGTTTTAATTTCATTCTTTTACACATAGCTGTCCAGTTTTCCCAGCACCACTTATAGAAGAGACTGATTTTTCTCCATTGTATATTCTGGCCTCCTTTGTCACAGATAAATCGACCATAGGTGTGAGGATTTATTTCTGGACTGTCTATTCTGTTTCATTGATATGTATGTCTGTTTTTGT